TTGCAGGAGTATTTTGGCAGCTTTTCACTATTGTTTCTTCATAGCAATTGAAGAAGAAACTTGTTTACGATGAACTAGGAAGCTGTAGTGCAGCCATTACACCTCCAACTGTGCAGCCACCACACGTAGTACTGCGATTGCTCAGATGACTTTGAAATTCTCTCAAACCTTCCTCCGTGTCAGAGGGGTCACCGTATATATATATTTACTTTTTTTAATTGATTATGTCTGCCTTTCTTTCATCTCCAGAACTTTAAAGCCATGTTTTTAAACTTCCCTTTTTTAACTCTAGGCCTGATTAAAAAATATCTAGGGGGTTTGCATCTCCCTTTGGCTTCACTGAGGGTTTGGGGGGCTTTAAAACCTCTTTGGACCACAGCAGTTTTATGTGGGAGGTTTCTTGTGTAGGTGTGAAATCAGACCCCTTTACCTTGAGGCTTCCATACTTAAAAACATTCTGCTTCACTTGCAGCTCACAAGTATTGATGTTATGTTTGACTGTGCATGAACTGCCGACTGAACATTTCAAAACAGTCTATGAAAGCCTGGGATGAGAAGAATCGAGTGAAGGGGGAGCTGAAACGGGCCAGTGCTGAGTTTTTTTAAGTATTTCAAATAATTCACTCGCTCGAGCATCAAGCCCTAGCTTTGGGACAGCATGGGTTGAGGAGGAAGCTTATCAAATTTCACAGCCTGTTCAAAATCCTCTTTCAGTTTAGGGTTGGAGGGGGTTAAGGACCAACTCTGTGAGTTTAGATGTTCTCACAGCCAAGATGGCAAATGTGATAATGTGCTCCAAAATATCTTCTGTGACAGGGCTGGGTACCTCCCTCCAATTCTGCCTGCAGGAGGAAATTACTTTAAGCAGCCTTCCTCAGTCAATTATTTATCTGCTGTAAGGGTTGAGAAGGCAGCCTTGGAGAAACAACTAAAACTCTTAGACCTCCTTTCTCCCTCCTCTTTAGTTTCTGCTAGTGATCCCTGACAGTCTGAAAGCAGAGGTGATAAATAATTGCAAGGTGACTTGTGGGTTGGCTCTATTTTCAAAAGGTTTGGGGTTTTTTTTGTGTGGTTATGTAGCTGGTGGCACAAAACAAAGTCATTTCAAGGCATTAGCTACAGAAATATCCCCCTCTCCACGTTTTCTCTCCTAAGCTTCATAGCTCCTGTAATTGCAGTATCGGGATTTAGTAAGGTAGAACAGAAATAGTTTGCTTGTAGCTATTGGCCTGGAAGACCTTGGCCCATGGCACTGCAATCAATGCAGTATTCCATAGGATGAGGTAAGAGGCCATGCAAGTCTTTCTTGTTTCCTTGCACCACAAGGCATGAAATCTGATTAGTCTTGTCCTCTTGTAATTGTGATTTACAGCCCTAAAGCTGGCAGTATGTTCCCAAAAGACCACCTGTATCCATGAGATACAGTGAGTGAGAATATGCTGAAAAGGCTTTTCCCAGCCCCTCAGAAAGAGCAAGAGACCAGGATGGTTCAGGCATAGCTCGTCTGGCTTAAGCAAGTGAAATCTAGTGTTCTTAGACAACACATTTCTGATTAAGGTCTAGGTGCCCAACAGAACCATCCTCCCGAAGTGGATATGTAGTACCTGTGTAGGAAAATAAAGGTACTGCCATTGACTGTGGCAGAAAATGCAAGCATCTCAGAAGAACAGCTTTTCTGAATACCTAAATTATGTATGCAACTTCAGTAATGGAGTTAAACGGACTGAATCCTGTGATATAGGCTTAGCTCCCCTCCAGTGTGGCAGTCTGGTCATGAAGGAAAAGCTCCCACGGTTCACACATAACAAAATATATAGAAAACCACGTTTCACACATAATAAAATCGATGTTCACACATAATAAATATACAAATTTTGTGTGTGAACGTCCAGATTTGGTAGCTGAAAAAATAACCCTTGGCTGTGAATACCTGTAGCAATGTCTGGAAAAATGGTTAAATTAGCTAGCGTTTAATTGAGGTGCTTGATGGTAACAAATGAAGGTCTAGGTTTTCAAATAATTTAGAAATAAGATTGTCTACTGAATTTTTGCTGTGGTTATTGAGGCAAATTGGGTACTTATCGTGCCAGCTCCCCATGGCAGGGGGGTTGGAACTAGATGACCTTTAAGGTCCCTTTCAACACAAACCATTCTACAACTCTAAATGGCCACTGCCCATGGGTGGGAAATGGCCTGCCAAGTGGAGGCAACAAGGGGACGTAACCTTGTAGCCTCTGACTGGCAAACCGTAATTAAAATTCAGTCCTGCCTTCTCTGTGGAATGCTGTTTCCAAATGCTCATATTCAAGCTGCATAACCTCATTCATCAGGCATTCCCCTTGCCAGGAGAACAAGTTTCTTTCAAATGGGTAGGTCGCTCTGTGGCACTTTACAGAGACTGCTACGAAGGTCGTTTTGCTCCACGACAAAGGCAACAGGATCCACACAAATGAATTTGGGCTGAGGAACAAGGAGGGAGGTTTTGTGGTAGTGCTGGATGCTGAAAGTCCCCGACGGCTGAGCTTTGTGGTTAAAAAGAGAAAAAGCTTAAGGGAGGGAAGAGAGAGCCTGTTTTATCTTGAGACGAGTGAAGCTTTATTTCTCTGCTGATTCACATTTCTTTTGAGACCTGCTAATTGCAACATCTCTCACTAAGTTACTTACAGCAGTACTGCTGGGTAGAAATTGTGATAAATGCATAAACTGTGTCTTATTGATTTTTGTTGACATTTTACATGCTTCCTATGCATTCTAAACCTCCATTCAGTAATTGTCACTATGGTACACACTTCTGGATAATGAGAGCAAAAGAAGTGAATGAAGCAGTTTCTTGACCATTATAAACAATATTATTCAAGGCTCTGTGTGGGGTTTCTCTCCTGCTCTCCAGTATATCTCTATTTGTGCTCATCCCCCGTTGAATTTGCAAGACAAGGAATGGAAGCCTTTGGTGTTATTTCCTCTGTTCATGATAGATAGCAAGAGAAATGTTTTTAAGAGAGATTGCTTTGAGACTGATGGTAAATTTGGGCCTCTTTACTTTTAGTGCACAGCAGCAATATGGAATCTAGCAGAGGTACTGTAGTTTATTTAGCTTTCTACTGCATATTTTATATAGATTGCCTTATAGAAAGCTGCTTTGTTACATCCTTTTCTTTGACAGAAATTTGTTGCTGAATAAGAATAGTAAAGCAACACGTGGTGTGGTTAAACAGTAGTAAGACATCATCAGCTTTTATGTTACCTAAGAAATACACAGAGTCACAACAGTGCCATGAAGCTTTCCTAAAAGAATTCTGACTTCTGATTTTATGATGCTAACCTATCAGTCAGAGGTACATAAGCCAGCTTAGGTTCTCTTGTATCAAGGGCCTGTACATTAAAGAGAAAAAAAACAAACCTGCATGATGCAAAAATGCATTGACTTTATCTTCATGACTAGATGTAGTGCTTTTGGGTAATGAACAGGCATTGCTTTCTCTTACTGTTGTTTGATTAAAATGTGAATACAGTCTTGACTTGATAATCTTACCAGGTACACACAGAGCAAAAAAGGAAAGGTATTTTGTGCCTCAAATTGATTTGCATAAACCAAACAATCTGTTGCTTGCTGGATTGCAAAATGGTTTATTTTGCCCATTGGCCACAGGGGCAACAATGTTGTATTTTTGATGACGGAACGTAGCTTTCATGCATTAGCTCTAAAATGACAATATGCTTTAGTCTCTCAGTGCTTAGATTTGCTTCATTTGGAAATCTTTTAAGTAGTAATAATAATAATGTTTTGAGGAAATTGAGTGGAACACTAAATTATTCTCTGAAACCTAAGTTCAAACTGTGCAAGGCTAAGGGAGCTGAAAATCAATGCACTTTTAAAGTCATTAGAGATCACAAGTGAAATAAGTCTGTGTTGCTTTAGCTAAGCTTTTAGTGTGCCATGGTATTATTACAAAATCAGCCTGAATCTGCATTAATTTCACAGTCTTTTTCTTTAAGATGCCCAAGGGTGCATGAAGAATAAAATGTAAATCTCAGAAGGCAATGTTTTTATTAGTCAAAAGGGCAGTGAGTCAGGCACTGAAAAAGTTGACCTGTACTATGCCCAGTGTAGATATGACTGACAAGAGTAAAACGGTTGAAAAATAGCCCCAGTATTAGCCTACTGGCTTTTCATTATGATTTAAAAGGCTGAGGAGGGGGGAAAAAAAAGTGATTTTTCAGTTATTCATGCACATAGCTTCAGAATTGTTTAAGCTGGTGGTAGCTTTCATAGATCAAATAATTATACTGGTACCTAGGACTTGGAGAAACAAAAATCATAAAGACTTTTATTTTTAATATGTTATTTTCTTAAATGTTGAGATTCCACCTACATTACTGAATTTTGTCTGAGTCTCTTCACACTTAGTCACAGGCTACACAGTGGAGTTCTTCTCATCCTTATTTGTATGATTGTTCTTGGTCCATCAGGGAAATCTGTGGCATTATGGACTCTTCTGTTAAATCCCCAGTTCGGCTGCCAGTGATGCCAGTCGTTCATTCATTACCCACAGTTTACCTGCACAAAAGCCATAGCAAGCAATTGTTAATGCATGGTCTGAATAGACTAAACTATGCAATCCAAAATCTACATAAAAGGCTCACTTATTTCAAACCCTGTGGCTAAAGAACAAAAACAAAACAAAAACAAAACAAAAGGAAAACAAACAAACCAAACAAACACAAAAAAAAATAAAATTAAAAAACCACCCAAGCCAATTAAAGGAAAAAACCCTTTCTCCTAACCCATCCCCACCTAATTTTTTTTCTTTCATCTATGGTCAGATTAGCAAGTCAGCACTGTCGATAAATAAACTAGAGAAGTTGTTTATTTTTATGTACTACTGAGAACAGTGTCGTCTTGTGGCCGTTCTCGTAGACTGTGTTGGTTTAACAAGCGTCCAACCCTTTTGTCTTGTTGTTTTTTGTCTTTCCTGCTCCCTGTCCCCTTGTTCCCACAGGCTGTGCGTTTGTCACATTTTCTACAAGGGCAATGGCACAGAATGCAATCAAAGCCATGCACCAGTCTCAGACCATGGAGGTACAGTACTGTATCATTTGCCCTTTCTTTGTTTTCTTTGTGCAAATGATTGCGAATGGTAAAGCCATGCTCTCCTGGATCAGATCAGACCCATGACAATCACAGATTTAAACTTTTTACCAACTCACACCTGTCTTTGTGAAGCTTATTTTTCTTCATGACCTGAAAGCACACAATAAGGTTGCTGTGTGGTATCCAAACACGGCTCTCGATCCTGTTGTCAGTGGCATTCAGCAAAAAGTAAAAATGCTGTGAATACCACTCCTTAGTCATACTCAAAGTATATCTGGTGAGTAAAATAACTTTACTTTTAACACACACACCCCCAAAGAAAAATCCTAGTTTCTCTTAAATAGATTTTTAAGTCTTGTGGTTCATGCTGCTCTGAGGAAAAGCTCAAGAGATTTAACCTGGCCACGCTGAGTTACTAGTGCATGTGTTTTCCTGCAAATAGAATCTCTTTTTAAGTTAATATAATTTCTTTTTCTTCATGTAGCCAATAAAAATGCTAATGGTGACAGAGCATATCGAAGTGTGGCACTTCCTGCAGAGCACAGTCGTGGCTAGCCCCTAAAAGCAACACTCTTTATTTCCTTCCAAACTGCCTCTATGGCCTTGTATTTTATCATGATGAGCAACGCAAAACTTTAAACCTGTTCACTTAATGTGAATAGAGCTGTGGGCTAAAAATCCCTTCACTGGAGTGGTTATCAAATGCCACGGCTTCTCTGGCAATCTCAAAACTTTTTTCAGTCTGTGATTTTTGTCATGGTCTTTCAGAATTTTGCACAAAAAACCGCACAAGTATGAAGTCTTTACTTACTCTGGATCTTCTAGCTTATCATTGGAGAGTGCATGTTATACTGTATTATGTATACTGTATCTTCGTGTAGTGATGATTTTTCTCAGAGGTGGCATTGATGTTATGTGCACTTGTTTCTTTTTTATTTCTTTTTTTTTCCACCAGGACCTTTTGATCTTTTTTTTTCCTCAGTGACTTTTCTTTGCAATGCTCTAGTCTCCCAAAGCATGCTGGGTGCTAAACAATCATTATTGCGTCATGTCGTTGAGCTGCTTTATGTAACAAGCCAAGCGGGGAGACCAGGGGTGGGAGGATGGACAGAGGAGGAGAAGAAGGAGAAGATAAAAACCAAGCCAGTGCATGAAAATGTCACTAACTGTTTCCTGTATCCTACAAGTAATGATACCGGCATTGCAAAGCTCTTGTCTTTCCAAACAACACATTTGAATTTCGTTGAGCTTCTTTTATAATTGATGTGTTTTCTTTTCAGTGCAATGCATTTTTAGACCCTGAGTATACAGTTTTAGATGAGAATCTGCCAATGAGATGAGAATAATTGAGATGATCTTTACTAGAAAGCTGCTGTTACACAGTCTATGCAGTCTAATAGTATATTGAGAAAAAACTGCTACTATGAGTCTCTGAAATAATACTTGTAGCAATTTGTCTGCCATGCACTACTCCATTAATTCAGATCTGTATGTTTTGCTGGGTTTGATTCCAAGTAAAAAGGAAATGTTTATTGGTAACACTGTGTTTTACCTGTATTTTCCATGTGTTTTAATGTATTTTTCTGTCTAGTGAAATGAATTTTGCACACCTCTACTTCAGAAGATGGTAACAGTAAAGAAATAATACCTCTCAGATTCTCCCATGCTTCTGTTGTGTGCAGTACTCCAAAAGAGGCTGCATTTTGATCTGATACTCGTGTTAACATTAGTTCTGTAGAGTGTTGATCTCTTGAATCAAAGTACTTCCTAACACCTTTTGAGACATCGTCAATGAGATCCCCAAACTGGCAAGATGATTCCAAATAGTTTGCACTTTGAACATCTGGGTCTTTGTGTCAGCTGAACTTAGACTAAGAATCCCTTCTTGGAGACAAGCAGCACATCCTCCAACTCTGTGGGTGAGGAAGTCTCTACCTACTGTCTTGACAACACAAAGAAAAGTACAAAGGCAGCACCAGCTGTTTGGGAGGGAAATGGCTCTAAATGGGGTGGAAATACCATGCCACTGAGTGAGGAAGGGAGGTGCACCTTGTGTATGTTCTGGAGCTTCCTCTCAAGATACAAAATGGAAGAATGTAAAAGAGAAATCACCATTTATGAAAGAAAAAAAAAGTTTTGACTTGATTTTGCCAGCACTCTTCTAGTAAAATGCTAAGTTGAATTAGCTAGTGTTAAATCTTGACTCCCAGCCTGGTCCTTTAGACACCTTTTTTTCATGTTTTTTTTTCAAACAAAAGTGGGTTTTGGGGACAATATGTAGTAAACAATTAGGTTTCAACCCAATTACTGCATAATTTCTCTTCTGATTTCATTATTTTCAGTTCTTTGGTACACATCATTGACCAAGATGAATTTTCAAAGTGGGTTAAGAAAGAACAATGGGGATGTTAATGTCCAGATGAACACATCTCCTAGAATAATGAATTCTCTAACTACTCTTTCCACCTGACTTTCTGACCTGGTTAAATCAACTGATTTTAAAAACATAATTGCTACTTTAGTGGTTTTGCTCTCCTATCTCATTTCTGTGGATTTTTTGTTTGTTTGTTTAAGGCATTCAAATGCAGCACCAGCAGAAGACACTAATTTGTTATCATGGACTAAATTTGATGCAACAATAACAACCCTTTTCTCATATAGAGCCACTTGCTACATATAATTTTAGTCCTCAGAATGTTTGCTCTCTTGAAAATGATGAAGTGATGAAATATAGAGCAGACAGTGAAAAAATGAATTATAGATTCATAAATTGCAGAGATATTGTTTTTATACAATTTACTGACATTTAAGCATTCATAAATATGTCAGCTATAGTGTTGAGTGCTGAGCTGCTGAACTGAGAACTGAAGTAGCCATATAATATTTCTTCCTTTGAAATTCGTTTCTATTTCTTTGGAAATAGATTTGATTCTCCTGTACATCTAGGTAGAAAGCAGTAAGTTCTAGTTGTTCTTAGCCTACCAATCCTCATATTAAATAGAAACAGCTCGCGTTTTTTATTGGCAAAACCCAAAATATCTACCTCACACCTCCACCCCCCAGCTCTTTTTTGTTTTTTTTCTTTTTTTTTTTTTAAGAGGGTCTTAGTTTTAATATTGGTATAAAAATCACTAGAGAGAGGTAATTGTGTAACAAGCTGGCTCCTTCATAATCTTTATTTGATTACTGGAGTGGCATGTATCCCCTTTCTTCCTCACTGAAATATTGAAAGACATTTTTACAGCAAAATGCATGGAACAGGAGTTGGAGGTGGAATAATAAATCACAACTCATGATTTTGGGAGATAATTCTAAAGAAACAGTATTGATGGGAAATCTTCATACAAGAGATATTATTATTATTACGGTTTATTTCATCATTTTGTCTGTTGATTATGAATATTCTTATCTTTTGTCCTGGTGTGAGATTCTTCAGAGAAAAGGAGCACGGCTGCTTTTTGTAAATAATAGAGGACAGGAGCTTTTCTGAAGATGTTCCATGAGCAGCCAGGGGAAGAGTTAGGTTAAGTATAACCCCACTCCACGTCCCACGCTATGCACTTTGTCTAAAGTGCTGCTGTATTTTTTGGACTCGAGTCACCCTTCACTCTACCATTGTGTTCAGATTGAAGTTAGACAAGAAATCAGTGTAACAAAGCATTGCAGGGGGAGGGAAGTTATTCATTGCATCCTATGAAACTGAAAAACAGTATGAAATGGATTGACAGCTTCTATGACTCACAAAATGCCTGAATTAATTTGACGAACTGAATCATTGCAGTGTATAGTTTGCTCCCTTGATTTGAAATAATGAAGACTTGAAAGGTTAAAATACGAAAACATCTGTTAGCAGGGGAAAAAAAATAGAGCGAAAGGAACAGAGACGTCTTTCATAATCACATTTCATTCTCTCAGTGACTGCCCAGGAATACCCAACTTGAAGTCCAAGAGAACTATCCAGCTTACCTCAAAAGTCCATCTGGTCCTTGACCTCCTACTTCTTCTCAAGGCTCCCTCAGACATGGGTGAGGAGTAGGCTGCAGACCATATGTCTAGTTCTATTTTGCAGCTTCCCTGTTTCCTAACGTGTCTTGCAGCCATCCCATATCATTTAACAAGAGGCTTATAGAAGCAGTAGAAGAAATGGTGGCAACCAGGAATGGGCTGTTGCCACCAGAACTAGTCACTTTTGGTCTGCATCCTGCCCTTTGTTCAGATCTCAAGGGTGCTTGATAGAAAGCGTGCCTGGGAGCGGACCACAGGTGGGTGAATTGTCCTAGCAGCAGCACCCTTGGTGCTCACTTTGAGCTGGGAGTCTCTGACAAGAAGAGGACCGATGACCCACTGATGATGGATGCTGAAGTAAATCTGCTGCTCACAGTCTGTGAGGTACACGAGCCAGCAGCACCAAGTGTGACTGCACAGCCAGACCACGGTGGCAGGGTGGTGTTGGCTGTGTGGTCCCTGGCAGCAGGGAGGTTGGACACCTCTCCCTTTGGCGATGCCTTCAAAACAGACTGCAGACAAAGCATCACGTCCATCTCATCAGCTGTGAAGCTTAATTAAAGAGGACTGGTACACTTGGCTGTCTCTGGCAGCAATTTTGATAGCTGGAAGGAAAAGAGAGCCTGAGGAAAGGTGCTGTGTAAAAGGAACTGGGGAATCAGTAATTTCTCCATAGCTCCTTTTGCTAAGAAGCTGAAAATGTGAGTCCTTGCAGTCCTACCTATGCCAGTCACAAAGAGAGAGTGAACATTCAGGTCGTGCTGTTGCCAGTGGCTCTCTGGGTCATGGCTGAGCTCAGGATGTGAAGGGGACTCGATGAGATTTAATGCTTCTGTCTTTCCCAATCTGTCTGACCACAGGGCTGCTCTTCGCCAATCGTGGTGAAGTTTGCCGACACCCAGAAGGACAAGGAGCAGCGGCGTTTGCAGCAGCAGTTGGCACAGCAGATGCAACAGCTCAATACTGCCACTTGGGGAAACCTCACAGGTCTTGGAGGACTCACACCACAATATCTAGCTGTAAGTTCATTTCAGAGGCGGTGGTTATATTATACTGTATTTACTTTAGAGCCATGGTGAATCAGCTATAGTAAACTCCCTGCAATATATTGCCACGTCCTCCAGGATACGTAGCATGTCTTCTACATAAAACTCTGTAAGTTTAGCACATGGTCTAAAAATAAATAACAAGGAATGGGATTTGAATAAACATTTCAAGATGTGTCAGTGCTGTCCAAGTCAAGCCTTTAAAGTTACTCGTGCTGCAAAATAAAATTTGATTCCATTAGTCTTATTGTTCTTTTGAATGTTAGAGTCTTTTTTGTAGCTGGACTGAGGTTTAAGTTCTCCCTTAGGGGAGGACAGATAGGCAGCTGAACACTCTAGGGGCCGTATCTATGTGGTGCAGGCTCTAAACTAAAATATGGTGGTCCAATCCTCTGATTTTCTACATTTTCATTTGGAAATTACTTTCACTTGAATGTCTGTTCCTGTCAGTGCTAAACATGCATGGTTCACACTACCTCATACAGAAAGGGAAGATGGCAGGGGAAAGCTATTTGTTTCTCATAAATTTGAAATGGTATTTTCCTTGGTCCATCTGTAGGATGAGAAAGAGATGTCAGCTGCTGCCCCAGTTAGAGAAAACTGAAATCCACAGCCACAGGTCCTGGGTGGCCAAGAGAGACTCCTCTGCAGCACAGCTGAGAGGGAGCCTCTGCCTTTTGTGGCTCTGGAGTTGAGAGGTCTGGTTGAGCAGTTTTTGGATAACCTGGGAGTTCCTGATGGTTCTGAGTTAGACAAATAAATGCGTCCACACAGATGCACTGTGGGTGCATAAATATCTAATCTGTATGCATACAATGCTTTGGTGTGGTGATATAATATAAACAGCAATTTACCCAGCAATTAAAAATATATGTTAGTGCTGAGGTAGTCTAATTAATACTGAGGTAGGCTAAATTGTTATATACAGCTACCAGTCTAATGAATATCTATGTGCTTGATTCATAAAGATAATAAAAAAAATGAATTCAAGGGGGTGGGGGAAAATGGACTGTGATTGACAGAGATGAGTTATGGTAACTACTAGACTACAGAGGGTTGTAATTAGTCACGCTATGTTGGTTTAAATAGATTTAACACCTGGTTGTTAAAAAGAATAAATTGATTAATTGTTTTAAAGCAGCAATGTTATTGAGTTTCCCTTGTGCCTCTGTGTTTCTTAATAGAGATTAGACATTAATATGGATTTACAGCATTGACTCTAGGGATGTTCATTCCAACAACAGACAGAAGCAAGAGAATATATAAATGTAAAGGAAAGCATAAATACTCCAAATATGAAATGATAGCTCATTTTAGTTTTATCTTCATTTGTTACATTAATGTCAGATAGATTGCTGTGTTGTGTTGTTAATTTGCAGCTTCTGCAGCAAGCAACTTCCTCCAGTAACTTGGGTGCCTTCAGCGGCATTCAGCAAATGGCCGGTAAGTTAAAATCCACTTCATTTTCCTCCAGCTATGTTTTGTATTCTTAAGCTATTGAATTCTGTGCCTCTAATAATCACATTGTCCAGGGGGGGTTGGAGGGGGCCACGCACATTGTGTATTAAATGTGGCAGATGTATTGGCAGGGGACAGCTCGCGGTTCAACATCAATAGAAACAGTTTCTCCCCTCTTTCAGAAACTGAAATTAAACCCAGTGCTCCCAGGTTGTGCAAACAGTTTGTCTTGCATTAGTCACCTGCCATTTGTCCAAAGTAACCAATTGTAAATTGCAGGAGAGCTCATAGTCCCTGCAGCCGTATCCTACCCTATGAAAAGTGCCAGTAAAGCAACAGCAGGATTACATTCTCATTTCCAGTGAGATTTCTGTGTCCTGAAAAATCAAATTAATGGCAGCCCTCAAACATTTTAATAATAGGTGGTGAGTAAAAATGTTCTGACCTTTTTAATGAAACCCAAGATTACAGGCCTACCTTCAGTGTGAATTTCCAGGCTCCTTTTATAATCAGGGAAAATTAACTGGGTGCCTTTTTGACTTTGGAACCCTAGTTGACAAAATTACACAACAGAGGATTTTATGTAAAAGTATAATCTTTAGTCTGGAGGAAAAAAAGAAAGAAAGAAAAGGGAACAAAAAAAAAATATCAAAGTGTGAGCGGATTTGAAAGCCAGCTAGTTGGAGGGTTTCTTAGTAATGAGCTGTGTGCCAGTAGTAACTGATGTGTAGTGATTAGCAAAAGGTCACTCCCGCTGTGTGACCTACCATGCTGATACCCTAACTTAACATGATGCTGGAGAAGGCAGCATGTGCAGTAAATCAGAGCACAGATGCACATTATGCCTGCCGCGAGAAACTGTTAAAAAGCTTTTTTTTTTTCTTGTTAGAGGAAAAAGAAAAAAAAAAAAAAAGGAAGCACAAAACCCCTAAATTGCTACATTCGTTTATTTTAATCATGAAGCCACTGAATCAATGAAATACAACGTTGTGCTTGCTTCATCATCACAAAACAAGGGCTAAAATATTCAAAAGTCTTTATGAACACCATTTTCTCATTCTTCTTTTAATCCTGGTCTTTTGCTTCCTCTGGTTCTGCTTTGAATGACTCCTGAGCTGCTCTAACAAGTACAGATAGGCCACGCCGTATAGCTATACCCCACAGGTATTCTGTGCTCAATTGTTACATTATGCCATTATTGCAGTGACATCAGAGACTAATGGGAACCTGCTGTCTGACAATATAAATTGGCCTACAGATGACAATATCTCTGAATTATTCTCCCTTCCTCAGACCTGCTGGCAGTGCTTGCTGGTTCTATTATGTTACACTTGCAATCTAGCATTTTTTCATCAAAAAAGTGTATCTTAATATGATAAACAGAACAGAGCGGCTCAGTAACAGTTTTATGCTTGGCAGTTTTGGAAGTGGCTTTGAGCTCAGAGATTGTGTTTAATGTTTTCATATTTGGTTAGGTCTACAAAATGAAAGAATTGAGACACCAAGGAAAAATAATGTGATATCCATTGCATTATGTGCACCTTAGAAGTTTTCTGCTCCTTGTTTCCCACTGTTAGTGTATGTTCAGCTTTGTCTTCAAGAGCTGTGTTAAAACTAAGAATTTTAGTCAAGTAATTTCAGGATAAGCTCTGAATCTGGGATATGATTTATCCTCTGCAAATCATATCGTTTTGAGACTAGTGCAAAGTCATTTTAAAAAAACGGCAGCATATCACTGTTACTTGAGTGATATGTCTTCTCAGCTACAGATTATATTGCTAATGCTCTCATCTACAGGATAATTTAATGACCGACTGCCTCTCCTGGAAAAAGTTGTGGTTTTTAATCTTACATTCATGTTATATACATATAATAAACAGGCCCAAGTTTACTCCTTTTATTCCACAAAACATGCAAGTCTTAGACCTTGATGTTCAAGGTGAAATTAGGGGTATAGCATTTCTGTTTGAGCTGCAGCTCTACACGAATGTGCCAAAATCTAGGCACTGTTTCATCTTTAGGACTGAAACTTCATGTTCTCTCCTCAGGAATCATGCAGTACTGTTACGCAGTGCATCTGGTATTAAAGATTCATTTAATGTATTTTGTGAAAGGAATAGAAAATACTCCTCTGTCTGCAGCAAGATCTGGCATTACCTGCTGAAGCTATCCTTGAATGTTTGTTAAGGCCCAGAGTTTTTTAACTCTAGCTTTATACATTCATTTTACAAAAGTGGATTTAATATGTATTTCCATATTGTGTATAGCTTACCTACTACTATAATATTTCAAGGTGAGGAATAAAATCTAGACACAATTGAGTAAGGTGCCAAAGAAGATCCATATCTGCAGCTTGCAAGTTCTTTGAACTTCGAGTTTGAGGGGTACAGCTTTTATCTTTGAAGTCAATGGTTGTGCTTATCACTGAATTCACACACTAAAAGTTTGATCAAAAGCCACATAAGCAATTGAAATTTCACTCTTACCTACATGTCAGGGCTCTAGCATCCCATTTACGCTTGTCTCGATGAAGACCCTCAGTAAGTTTGCAGACAACACCAAGCACTGGGTGGAAGAAGAAGGATCTGGACAGACTGGATCAATGGGCTGAGGCCAATGGTATGAAGTTCAACAAGTGCCAGGTCCTCCACTTGGGTCACAACAACCCCAGGCTTGGTGAAGAGTGGCTGGAAAGCTGCCTGGTGGAAAAGGACCTGGAGGTTGATAGCTGGCTGATATGAGCCAGTGCGTGCCCAGGTGGCCAAAAAGACTTACAGCATCCTAGCTTGTATCAGAAATAGTGTGACCAGTGACACAAGGGAAGTGATCATCCCTCTGTACATGGCACTGGTGGGGCCACACCTTGAGTACTAGGTTCAGTTTTGGAGCCCTCACTACAAGGACATTGAGGTAGTGTAGCATGTCCAAAGAAGAGCACAAGTCTTATGAGCTGAGGGAACTGGTGTTGTTTAGCCTGGAGAAAGGGAGGTTCAGGAAAGACCTTCTTGCTCTCTACAGCTGCCTGATAGGAGATCGTAGCAAGGCGGGGGTTGGTCTCTTCTCCCAAGCAACAAGTGATAGGACAAGAGGAAATGGCCTCAAGTTGCACCATGGGAGCTTTAGATTGGACATTACAAAAAATTTCTTCACCAAAAGTATTATTAAGAATTGGAACAGGCTGCTGAGGGAAGTGGTGGAGTCCCCATCCTTGAAGGTATTTAAAAGTCATGTAGATGTGTTGATGAGGGACATAGTTTAGTGGTGGACTTGGCAGTGTTAGGTTAGTGGTTAGACTTGCTATTAAAGGGCCTTTCTCACCTAAATAATTCTATGATTCTAAGTCACAGTTTCCTAAATTAGGACTTCTAATACAGCCACCCTCGTGTCCAAAATTAGGAACCTTTGGATCTGCAAGCATTTATTTACACTGCTAAAGCTCCTGTTGACTCTATACTGAACAGAAAGGATACAGCACACTCCCTGCTACACGTGTGAGGAAATGTTTGCCATGCAGTCCTCAGTATGATTTCTTAAAGTAATTTTCTTTACTAGCAGAGCAAAGATACTGATCTTCAGTGTGAAGTTTTAAATTCACTTTCCCTGATATCATACCTCAGTTTGGTTAAATAGTTTTTATGTGCCAAAAGCAGGGATGCTTTGGTTTTGTTGAAAGGAATGGGGTTTTTGGGCATTTCTAGTTGAAGAGCATTGGAGTTTGTTGGTTGATTTGAGAACTGGAGATTCACTCCAAAGAAAAATAGGTATTTTTCTCAAGAACACACTAACATACAGACATAAAACACACGGAGCACCAGCTCCAAAAATGAATGCTTTTCTCACCATACCAGCCCACTGGCACTAAGCTCTGTTCAGCACTGCCTTTGCCCTCTGTTCATACACCATGTGTGCAGTCCAAGCAAATCAAGAAACTAGCTCATTGAAAATTTGTGCGATATTAAAATCTGAAAGGCAAAAAGTAGTAGTTAGTCATCCAGCTTTCGACGCTTCAAGGTGCCACGCTTGCTTCCCCTGTTTAGGTTTTCTCATTTTGGTTGAAAAATGAGATTTTCATGGAATTGTATTATTTCAGGAGCCAAGCTGGTGAAAACGGTGTAATATGTCAAGGCTGGTAATAAAGTTGGGAGAGCTGGCAATGCTGCCTTTAGTATTATACTAATCCTCTGGTTTTGATTACAAGAGCTAAACCTACCTTGCCAAATTTGGCTTCACTGTCCTTTGTAAAAAAAAGCCATCATCAAGTGTATATTCTGTAGTGAACACTTCCTCTCCTTTCCTCTCCTCCTCTAATATCTGCAATGCTAGTTTAAAGGCAATGTTTTCTCTCACGTAGCTCTAAAGTCTTCAGTGTCTAGCATGTGCTTTGTCTTTGGGGAAGGCTAATAATGTAGATGAATTACATTGTGTGATTTGATTGCCTTACTTTAAAAGGACAATGCAAGCTACATTAAGCACTAGCAACCTCTCAAACAAAAAACATTCCTCCTTCAAATATACACAAATTGCATGGAAAGCTTAGTTCAAAGGAGATGGATGTCATTTGAATGTTTGCACTGAATTTGGCTGGCACTAGATTAGGTCCTAAAAGCTGCAGTTATTTAAGCCAACCTGCCTGTTCAAGAAGAACCTGGAAAGTACTATACAGACAGTATAAACAGGGATGTTTTGTGTTGCAAAGGGTGATTGTAGAAAATTGAAATGTTCAAACATATACAATCTATGAAGTTTTATATTGCCCATTAATGTAAAATGTTTTGGCAGGAATAAACATTCGCTCATACAGAAATATTTCTATGTGTGCAACCATTCAGGACATAGGAACATGTACAGTAATCATAAAAGACATAAAGGGACTCTTAATTTCTTTGAATAGACAGTGTATTTTGCTTTCTGGAGTCACGCAGGAAAAGAAACCATACTTTTGGCTTTTATTGCTTTGGCTTTCAGATCCCTAAACCCTCTACAGC